AATGGGAACTTTCTCGTTGCTAGGGTATTAATTTATATTCATATTCATATGTTAATTATGAAAAGTGAAAGTGATTCGTATTAAAGAATAGATGATTTATTTGTGTGTGTGTGGGATTATTATTATAAAATGATATAACAAACTAACTGAGAATCTTCTAACTTGCAACAGAGCATTTTTCGTAGATCTTATTATTTGGAGATAATAATGAACACGAAAATATTATTATCATTGGATTGGTCAGATACAAATATTATTGAGACATACTGATATCTTTTTTACTGAAAAATATATGAGATACACAGAACAGGCAATTCAGCTACCTAAAAAACATACTTCGCCATTATATACATATATTACGCAAAGTATATTATTATTATATTATCAATGTCAATGCAAAAAAAAAAAAAAAAAAAAAGAAAAAAAAAAAAGAAAAGAAAAAAGAATGACGCAGAGGATTGTGCGACGAGATATTCGAAACTGCGCATTAGTATCGTATAATCTTTTATAAATAAATCACTATAAGCTACACATAGAAATATATAAAATTAATTCTCCACTTTAATATTGATTTAATTCAAATATGGCGTTTCGTAATCCTACTATATATTTGATTTAATATAAATATATAAAAAAGAAAAAAGAAAAAAAAAATATAATAAATATAATGCTATATAGCATATGTGTACTATATATATTACTCGTCATCACACACACACACACACACACACCTGGAATATATACGCATATATACAAAAATAAATGGAATACACTTCGAACAATAAAAGAAACATATCCAAGCAAAAATTATCTTAAACACATACGTCCTATTCGAAATTGCAGCTTTCTTCTTCTTCTTCTTTTTCTAATTCTTTGATATTTCCCATAACCACAACTTAAAGAATATTTTTCCAAGCTCTTGTTATTTTCGAACACCGTGTATACACACACACATACCATATATATATATATATATATGCATGCATGCATGAATACATGTGTGGGATACGCGGGTGCGTTCCATGGAAAAGGAAAGTCGAAAGTAAAAAAGACTAGTTTAAACGATGTTTTCAACGATAAATTTCTCGTTTCGAGTTTTCTGCAAGGCACCACGAAGAGAAGAGGAAAAGAAGAAGAAGAAGAAGAAGAAGAAGAAGAAGGAGGAGGAGGAGGAGGAGGAGGAGGAGGAGGAGGAGGAGAAGAGTGTTCGAAGCACGCGTTCTTTCTCACACCGCGAACGGTGTGCAACTTTAAATAAACACACATACACACACGCGCTTGCATATATACACACGCCATGCACATACACACACACACACACGTACATATATATATATATATATATATATATATATATATATATCTGGGCAAAGAGTGGAACGAGCGCAGCGCTTACACGGCTTTGAGTTTAGTTAATTCGGGTCATCGTCCTTCAACCACTCTCCTCGTCGTACCCGTTTCATTTTCTTTCTGATCCCTCTCTACCACCATAGTCTCTACTCCTCGTCGTTACCATCCCCCACTTCCCTCCTGCCCCGCCCACCAATTCTCTCATTCTCCTTTAGTAGAAACGAAACGAGACGCGGCTACGCGTGACCTGGCCCTACCTCCCTCCCCCGCCGACCCACTATGTATATCAATATATTTTCTTTTTTCTCTCTCTCTCTCTTTACTTTTCTTTTTTCTTTGCTTTTTTTTTTTTTCCTTTCGATGCAGACTTTGTTTACCCAATCGTTGATATTTTCTTTGTAAACGTAAGAATTTTTGCTGTTGTTAATATTAATCTTTTTTTATCTTTTTTTTTTTTTTTTTTTTTTTCATTTTTCATTTATATAATCGATAAAAAAAAAATAATAATAATAATAAAATAAAATAAAATGAAATAAAATAAAAATAAAAAAATGGAGAAACAAATCGAACGTCGAGACATTTGTAAATTTGCAAAAGACTTTCTCGAAGGATCCTGGAGAAGGAGGGAAGAAGCTATGTGGAAATCAAAACGAAAAAGGAAAGGAAAGAAAAGAAAAGAAAGAAAAAGAAAAATAATAAAAGTCAAAATCAAAATATGAATTGACGAAGAATGATCATAATCGTGAAAACACACGCGCCTTCTTTTTTCTTCCTACATATTACGAAAACACATCATTCACACACACACACACACGCACACATATGCACACAGATAGAGATAGAGATAGAGATAGTGTGTGTGTGTGTGTGAGAGAGAGAGAGAGAGAGAGAGGAGGGAAGAGAGAGAGAGAGAGAGATAGAAACACTGATAACAGCGCTCCCTGATGTTTTTACGACGCGCCGTTTCGAATCAGCTGTGGCGTGTGTACAAAACAATAATACGCGGGGCGTTGGATTTTATCATCATTCATCGTATGACATTGCCGACGTAAAATTCATGATATTCGTAAAACGTTTACGGTTAATTGTTCTCATAAAAATTTACATATATTATAATAACAATAAGAAAATTGCAATTTACAGAAAGAGAGAGAGAGAGAGAGAGAGACGAAGAAAAAAGGGGGAAAAAAAAAACAAAGAAAGAACTTTGCTCTCTTTTTTCATCTTTGACGAAAATAATATCGAATGGAACGACATTTTGTACCTTTCACGTTTTCCCTTTTCTTCTTCTTCTTTTTTCTTTTTTTTTTTATCTCGGACCTTCCCCATTCGACGCCATCTTTCATCCGTACGAGGAGACAATACGTTCGTACGATACAATAACGATCTCGTTCGAATATAAAATTCGATTAAATTCGAAGAGAAATATTTTTATCATAATGAAAGTTTTAATGCACATTACGATTTCCTTTATATATATATATATGTAAATTTTAGATAATCGTGATATATCCGAGGAATGATTTTCGAGCGTCGTCGTTGTCGTAGTCGTCGAGTTGTATCAAAACGAGTCCTTTCTTCCACCCGGTCAAGTATCTCCTCGAGCGTTAAGATCGAAAGGCGTAGCAAGAAGAGGAGAGAGAGAGAGAGAGAGAGAGAGAGAGAGAGAGAGAGAGAGAGAGAGAGAGAGAGAGAGAGAGAGAGAGAGAGAGAGAGAGAGAGAGAGAGAGAGAGAGAGCATTGCACTTCCGTGGGGATCGTAGCGCACGCTCGTGAAGGATCAACATGAAACGAAAGAGAGAAAGAGAAAATAAGAACTATTCGTTCTTCCTATCTTTTTCTATTTCGTTTCTAATTTTCTTTATCTCTATCTATCTATCTCTTTCTTTTTCTCTCTCTCTCTCTCTACCTCTATCATATAATTCATATATATTTTGAAGCAAAAGACGCACGTGTGCGGACGTGACAGTCGAGTTTGGTTAGATGGCAGATTGCGTTGGTTCATGATGTATATATATATATATATATATATACATATATGTGGGAGAAGAAGCATGCACGCATACACATACATACACATTACAAAAACACATACAGACGCGGGCGCCGAGAGAGTATGTAGATTGTGGCAAGAGGCACTTAAAGAATATAACAGAGGATAGACAGAGACAGATAGAAAAGAAGAAAAGAGAAAGAGAAAGAGAGAAGAGAGAGAGAGAGAGAGAGAAAGAGGGATAGAGATAGATAGATCGTAATATAAGAACGAGTAATAATATCGTTTCGGAGATTATTTTTTCTATATTTTTCTTTTCTTTTTATTCTTAATATAAAAAAAGGAAAAGAGAGGAAAAAAATTCTCCCCTCTCCCTCACATATAAGAATAAACGCGAGCGCGAGATGATAACGGTAAAACGAGTTGCAAAGGGAGGCGACGGCCCTGGACGTGAGTCTTCTCTCTCTCTCTCTCTCTCTCTTTCTCTCTTTCTTCTCTCTCTCACTCACTCTCGCTAGTCTCGGGCAGCTGACGGTGGCCGCGAGCGTCAGCTGAGAGCGTACACAAAGGCTATGTACCGCGCACACAATTCGATGCGCGCATAGAAAAGCATATATATATATATATATATATATATATATATATATATATATATATATATATATATATATATATATAGAGAGAGAGAGAGAGAGAGAGAGAGAGAGAGAAAGAGAATAAGTCAACGATGAAAACATTTGGTCATTTTTAAGACGAAGAAAACTTATGAGTACGAACGATCATATTAAATGAAATTTATGTGTATACATATATATATATACATATATTTGTTGTCCTTTCTGAAGCTTCCTAAAAGAAAAATGGAGGAGAAGAGAGAGAGAGAGAGAGAGAGAGAGAGAGAGAGAGAGAGAGAGAGAGAGAGAGAGAGAGAGAAGCTAAAAAAAAGGAAAGCAAAAGGTATTGCGTAGTTGGAGAGAGAGACATAATGCACGTATGTACGTACGGGGCTGTTATAATCGCGCTTCGTGGACGCTCTCTGCTACATGAGTGTCTAAACCGATTCATTTGTCGAACTGATCGACACTACCATAACAGCAGTAGCAGCAGCAGCAGCAGTAATAGTAGTAGTAGTAGTAGCTCGACTAGGATTATGACGTCTCCAATATATATATATTATATCGTATACGATGGGATTCATCAATATATATATATATATATATATATATATAAATTTTTTTTTTTCGTCTAAAAAGTTCACAACCAAAAAGAGAGAAACACACGGACGGACAGACGGACAGACTGACAGACAGACAGACAGACAGACAGACAGACAGATAGAGAGAGAGAGAGAGAGAGAGAGAGAGAGAGAGAGAGAGAGAGAGAGAGAGAGAGAGAGAGAGAGAGAACGATACATAGAAACAATCGAAAGAATAGTTATACTCTTTATTTTATTGTTATTGTTGTTGTCATAGTCGTCGTTGTCGTCGTCATAGTCGTATAATCTTAGTCATAATCGACTCGTCGTCGTCGTTATTTCTTTCTCTGTCTCTGTCTCTCTCTCTCTCTCTCGCCCCATTTTCCTATCTTTGTTTTCCCTTCATAAACGATATCCTTCTTTTTTTTCCTCTCTCTATTTTCCCCGAGGAACATTACGCACCTCCATATGCATCCGTGGCCGCGACAGCGACGAGCAACGAAGCGCGTGTCCTCGTTCCTTCTCGTTCGTTCGTTCGTTAGTTAGCTCCTTCTTCTTCCTCCTCTTCTTCCTCTTCCTCCTCCTTTTCTTCCTCTTCTTTCTCTTCTTCCTCTTTTTCTTACTCCTTCTCCTCCCACTCTTCTTCACTTGCTTGTTATTCTTATTATTTTTCTCTTATTTTGTCAGAATAATTCTCAGTAAGAGATTTATTTATTTATTTGTTTGTTTATTTATTTATTTACTTATTTATTTATTTATTTATTTATTTATTTATTTATTTATCGTTGGTTAACGTTGCGTTTCTCTTGATTTTATTCTTTTGTGGGTGGCACGCTATTTCGTTTTAACGCAATGCCACGAATAACAACGTCGACGAAAACAAGAACGGCTCGTCCTGATCATCACTAAACGCGAAAAACGGTCGCGTCCACCGTAGTAGCGTAGTAGCACCTTTACTCCGCTGCTGATCGACTCGGCGTCGCGTTCGATTTATTTCGGTTCGTCCGCAGGCGGCGGGACAGCGCACGACAACGCGACGACAGTAGTGGTGGTGGTAGTGGTGGTGGTGGTGGTAATGGTAGGTAGTGGTGGTGATGATGGTATAAGAGAGATATATCTCTTAAATGCGCATGCGCCATATTAAAGCCCGTATACAATCTCCGGACATTGCCGTTAGTTTGTATCGTGGCGCTGCCGTCTCTTCTTAATTTAATTCATGTTTTCCTTCTTTCTCACCAGACTGCGCTTTCCTTTTCTTCCCATTTCTTCTACGTTCTTCTCTATCTCTCTATCTCTTTCTCTTCTTCCTATTCAGCTGTTTTTTCTTCTTCTTCGTATAACCTTTCATCCATCCATCCATATCTTTTCTCTTTCTCTCTGTCTCTCTCTTCGTTTCTTTTGTCTTGCTCGCGTTCGGACAATATTTTTCTTTATTTCCCCCCTCTCTCCCGCCCATCCGCCGATATGCGTTTTCTCTTTCCCCTTTGGCCCCGTTTGCAATGCAATCCGTAATTTTCTTTCTTTCTTTATCTCTTCTTTTTCTTCTCTCTCTCTCTCTTTTTCAAAGAATTCCCTTCTTCAATCTGTTTTTATAAAAATTTTCACATGATCGTTCGTGTATGAATTATTATTAATTCTTTTCTTTTTTTTTTTGTTCTCTTCTTTCCTTCGTATAATTTTTTCGATGATCAATTTTCTAATGCGAGTTCCTCGTAGATAAAGTTTTTACTTATACTCCGGATCTTATCTTAAGATCGGATAAACTGGTATTACTTTTCTTACTTGTATCGTATGCGGTATCAAAAATTGTCGTCATAATCATTCCGTTATTTTATTATCAGTTGGCTCGAATGAGAAACGTCGTAACTTTTTTTTTCCTTTCTCCTTTACGTTTTCTTTCGTTAATATAATTGGTAAACGCGCAGCAATATGTATGTATATACAGTTTTGATAGTGCGCTCTTTGCTTTATCTTTCGATTCTCGACAACGTTCAAAATTAGAAATATATTCCCGCTCAAGCGAGAATGATTGTTAGGGATGAACTTAACCGATGAATCTCTTGAAAAATCGCGTTAATGACTTTGTAGAGAAAAGTAGGAAAAAACGGGGAAGAACAAAAAAAAAAGAACAAAAGAAAAAAAAAACCAGAAATAATAATCTGCGTATAAGCTAAGCCCAATTCGCAAAGTAAATCCGTAAAATCCTTAAACGATTGAAATGAGATAAACTCGCGAACGTAGCGTGGAATATAATAAAATATTTGTAATTTTCCAAGAGATGAAATCTTATCATCGTTATTTGCTTTAATAAGAACGTTTTTCAAAGGATCTATCGTTAACTATACCTACTACCTCTACTACCAACTACACTCTACTACTCTAATAATAATTAATCCGTTCTATTCATGAAAACGCGTATCGGTTTACGATACTCTCTCTCTCTCTCTCTTTCTCTCTTTCCTCAATGAGGCACGTTCGTTCTGGAAAAGAAGCATGCGTGAATGTTAAAACTACATAGGAAAGCTACCTTTATTCGTACTTTTTCTTCGCATATTTTTTTTTGTGGTTTTTTTTTCTTTTTTTTCTTTTTTTTTTTTTTGCGCAATTCTATTACATATTACAATTCTTTTGACAAGTCTAAAATCACATTCTATTACAAAATCCTGCTAAGCTGGGTATTTTGCGAAAACTTTTTTTTAGACGCACTTCGCGTATATTGTATTACCAAATAGAAGGAAAAAAAAATTATGTGTATATATATATATATACATATACATACATACATACATACATACATACATACATACATACATACATACATAGATACATATATATATATATATATATATATACATATATTGAATATTGAAAACATCAAAGTCAAGAATGTATGAAGTACGGGAAGAGACTACAAAAAAAAAAAAAAATCCAAGGAACACATAATAAACAGACAAAAGTTAATTGGCCATTTATATATAAAATATTTTTCCTGTTCCGAATTGTTTGTTTCTTTTTGTTTGTTTGTTTGTTTGTTTGTTTTTTTTTTTTTTTAGCGTATAGAAATCACTGGTGGTTTGTCTATGTGTATTGCCGACGCTTCTTCCTCTTCCTTTCCCCTCCCCTTAAAAAATCGATAGCTTGATTAAAAACTTTGTCACGATTGCGTAATCGAACGAATTGGTCACTTTGAACAGCGACTCACAATTTCGTATTAATGCGTAACAATTAACGCAACAATTGCACTATGCCTGCCACCCTCTTCTTTTCTTTCTCCTTTCTTTCACCCCATCTCTTTCTCTCTCATACTTTCCCTCTCTCTTTCTCTCTCTCTCTCTCTCTCTCCCTCTCTCTCTCTCGTGTGTCTATAAACCTTTAGTTTTTTTCTTTTTTCTTTTTCTTTAAGGTTCGCATTTGCATTCTCACATTCAATATATTTTCTTCCTCTCACTTCCGAACGTTCCTAGCATGGAGAATAACAACAAAGCAGTATTTCAAAGCAGCAACACATAACGGACTTATTTTTATCTTTGTTTATTCAATATGTATTTTCTTATAAAGAGTGACGTCCTACGTAAGTAAAAGTAAATGAAAAAGAAATTCAGCAAACGATAGTTAATATATTCATTAAAATTCTTCTTCTCGTTAAGGCAACTAATTTGTTTAGTTTCATTTTTATATCTAGATTAAATGATATATATATATATATATATATATATATATATACATATATATATTTATATATATATATATATATATATATATATATATATAAAGTATATGTAAAACACTAATATATGGTTATTTTTATTTTCTTGTTACAAGCCTTACATTATTAGAATATAATAATATGTATACTTTGTATATATACTCTTGTAATAAAATTGATTACTTCGTACTCGACTCTATAGATAATAAATATATCTAATATGTAATGTTAGTACAAGAGAAGTGCGTGCAGAGGGTGGCAGCAGGGTGCGCATTTGGGAGTGCTATTGTTCCGGGGACTTTCCAGTCCCTTCGCTTTAAACCGTCTCACATGGTGACATTCAACTGTATTGCTTTTGTGTCCACGGAACACGCTTGTTGTTGCTGCTGTTGCTGCTGCTGTTGTACCTGTTGCTGGACTTGTTGTTGAACTTGTTGCTGTATTGCTTGCAACTGAATTGTTTTAGTATCGACGGTACACGTTTGTTGTTGTTGCTGTGGCTGCTGCTGCTGCTGCTGTTGAACCTGTTGCTGTTGCGCCTGCTGCTGTTGTTGCGCCTGCTGCTGCTGCTGCGCCTGCTGTTGCTGCTGGACCTGCTGCTGCTGCTGCGCCTGTTGCTGTTGTTGGGCTTGCTGTTGCTGTTGAGCTTGTTGAGCGGCAGCTTGTGCCGCTTGTCTTTGTTGTTGCCGAAGTATACTCGGCGGAGGATCCATGTGCTGACGTTGATGTAATAACAAATGATTCTTCTGGAAGAAAGCCTTTCCACACTTGTCACACACGTGTGACCTTATATGACAACTGCCGTCCGTGTGGCGTCGTTGATGTTGCGACAGTCCATGTTTTTGAGCAAACCCGCGGCCACAATCCGGACAGATATGTGGTTTTGGTTTAGGACCCGAACCAACTGGTGGGGATGTTTGCGTTGCACCGTGCATATGGCTAACACCGGGTGTTCCGATAGGTCCATTCATCTGGAAATATTTATTACTTAGTTTTCGTGATACCTTTCCGAAAAACGAGTATAGGCAATTACCTGGTGGGTTCCAGGAGTATTTGGAGTTAGGAAGTGTCCAGGAGTTTGTTGGAAGGCAGCTGCTAACCCACATAAATCCGTTACTAATGTTCGATCACCAGAATGTAGCCTTAAGTGTAAGGTAAGGGCTTCTCTGTTTGGAAAATCTAATCCACACTCCCTGAAATAATAAACTTGATGTTATCGGTGTGATACCTTCGCAAGGGCTATGCGTAAGGTTCAATCTTAATTTTTCTGACACTTTCTGTTGTCATTTACGCATCTGACGTACCTGCACGTAAGAGACTTTTCATCTGTACTCGTATTGTTATTGTGAATCTTGGAGTGCGTAACTAAATCTACTTTACGCGGGAATGCCTCTCCACAAACGGTGCAAGCAAAAGGTGTTTCTCCTGTATGTAAACGCATGTGTGCTAATAGCGTTCTCTTCTGTAAAAATTCTTTACCACAAACAGTACACGAATGTGGAATTCTACCATGTAACCGACCATGGTTTACTAGTTCAAACTTCCTTTGAAACGTAGCCCCACAATCATGACAAACAAATGGATGTAAACTGCCATGGAAGCGCGAATGCATTGTTAAATGATCCTTTTGCGAAAAGGATTCTCCACATTCTTCGCAAACAAATGGCCTTTCTCCAGAATGAAATTTACTATGAGTGACTAAATGGCGTTTAAGAGGAAACGCTCTTCCACATTCCTGGCAAACAAATGGCCTCTCTCTTGTGTGTACCCGAGTATGTGTTACAAGGTGATGTTTTAACGTAAAGGACTTTTTACATTCTCGACATTGATAAGGTCTTTCCGCACTGTGTAAGAGCAAGTGGGTATGAAGACAATGTTTGTGAGCGAAACTCTTGCCACAATGAACGCATATATGAGGTCTCTCTCCTGTGTGTACTCTTGCATGTGTGGTTAAATGATGCTTCAGTAGAAATGACTTCCCACATTCAGAACAGGAATATGGTCTTTCCTTAGGTACACGAACTTGGCTCCCCATATCTTGCTGTTGCTTAACTTTAGTCTCGATTTGAGTAGTGTTTACATGAGTCAAGACGTGTCCAAAGTGAGCTGTGCCATCCGTTTGACTGGTAGTAACGTTATTGGAGTTTGCTTGATTAGATGCAGCTGCTGCCCTTTTCATTAAAATTTCATTGCACTCTTCTGCAGTAAGCTGCAAAGGTCCAAGCGGTGTCATGAAATGCTTACTCATGGCATGCTTATCAGCTGTGGTAAAAACTAAGGTGTTTGAAAATAGAGAAGGTGGAGGCGTTGGTTGTGAAGCATCACACTGACAACCTCCCTTTTCACAATTCAATGGAAAAACATCATGATGCTTTTTAGTGCGAACATGAGAACCATGTGTTTGATTATGAGCCCCTGTGTGACCGTGGTGGGTAGTAGGAGTTTGTTGACAACTTTCATTCATAGCGAACATAGGTCTGCGATGAGCACTATTAACGTTTTTTGCTGGTTTGATATCGACTTGTATCTTTTGACTGGAACCTTGGTCCTGATTGTTATTAACAGCGTAACTAATATTGGTAGCAAGCTCGCTCTGTGCGTTCTCTCGGGTTTCGGTACCAGGCCCACCAAAGGACCAGGCATACCCGAATCCTGCTCCGGCGTTGCCAGGGGTTGTACACATATTTGCAAGGGTAACAATGGAGGGGTTGGTTTGGCTGGAGGCTATATCGGTAGGCCTCTCTGTCTCTGTCAACGCATCCTCTGTACAAATTCTCTCCACTATGACAAATTGATCGGATGGAAATATTTTGATTGGGTCTAAGTCAACCTACCGGTCACACTCCTCTTTCTTGTTCTTGATTACATGCTTTGGGTAACATATCTGTCTGAGTAGGATGTAACCGGTCACTTATAAGAGTAATACTAGAAACATTGAAAGTACTTTTAGACAGTCACAAGGTAATATGTAATAAAGGAGCACCAAGGGTCTTATCAAGACCTCGTGATGGTCATGCGTGGCATAAGATATGTAAATGGTTCGAAATTCTGTGTTGGCGCGCTTCGACCCCTCTGGCTCCGACGCACGCAGCCTCCGGGTGGCGGAGGCGAGGGTCCCCGAAAATTTGGTGCAGGCGGCAGAGGGGGCCCTGTGTGCACCCGCAAAACCCGAGTTCGCCTATTCTAGAGCCGTGTTTTTCTATAGTTTGCCGCGCCACCGTGCGCCACCGAAATTAATACGGCGATCCCAACGGTACTCTTTAGATCGTACCGCCTCACCGATTCTTCCTATCGGTCTTCTCGGCGTCCACGGGTCTTCGAAGACAACCTCCACCTTTCTCTAACGGCACTCCCACACGCTCACTTACACTCCACGATATTTTACCGTACTTTACGACGCGACTTTTCCACATTAACTCGCACATGTACGCGACCGACCGTCATTAATTTTATAAAATTCCATATTTTATTGTCCATACAAAATAGCCTCATATATCGGCCATTTTATTTGTAAACTACCAAAAAACAATGTTGCCAACGTACGCGCTGGTTTTGGAGGGAGCGAAGCTTGAGCATAGCGTCACCGTATACTTCCGTGCTGGCAGCACTGCAGTTCGCAGCGCGGACAGATATTTTTCCGCCATATTCAAATGCATTCAACGCGATCCTAACATAATTCGATTTGTATCCTTTGCTTTTTCTTTTTTTTTCCCAACTTTTTTTCTTTTCGCTTCTACTTCTACCTCGGTTTCTTTTTTCTTTTTTTTTCTTTTCAATTTTTTCTCTTACAAACATTTTCTTCTTCATTTATTTTTATCTTTTTTTTTCTTTTCTTTTTTTCTTTTTTTCTTTTTTTCTTTTTTTCTTTTATTTTCTCTTTTTTTTTTTCCTCCTACCAATAACTCTTACTTACCCAATAACTTACCAATGGCTCTTCAAACGAGGAAAGAAAATGATGTTATCGGCTTAATATATCTCGAATCTCGCTTCTCTGATTAAAACTAAACGCCTTCGGATAAGAATCCATCATCGTGGTATAGTTCTTATCGCATCCGCGAACCAATCATTATCATATACGCGAATCAATTATTTACTCAAATAATTGAACTTACTAGGAAGATCTCGTTGGTTTAATAATCTTATCGCGAATATTGATATTCCTTGGAAAAGCGAAATGTTTCCGTATGGACGATTTTTTTCGAGAGACAAGGAAAAAAAAAAGGAGGTAAAGAATAAAAAAAAAAAAAAAAAATACAAAAAAAAAAAAAGAAAAAAAAAGAAAAGAATAATTTTCTGAAATCAATCCGAGGCTTTCTTTCTTGTTTTTTTTTCTTTTTCTTTTTCTTTTTTTTCTTTTTTTCGTCGATCTGATAAGAAATCAACTCGCTGCGGGCAGGTTTCACTTCCTAAAAAAAAAAAAAAAAAAAAAAAAAAAGACAAAAAAAAAAGAAAGAAAGATTGAAGAGACGGAATCGCATGCGGGACGTAATAATAATCAATTGAACTTATAATTCACGTTCTCGACGAAAATAAAATGAAAAGGAGACGGAACTCATTGCGGATCTTCCTATCGTTTTCCTATTTTTCCTGGAAATAAGAAAAAAGAAAAAAAAAAAAAAAAAAAAAAGAAAAAAGAAAAAAAATAAGAAAAGAAAGGAAAAAAAATATAAGAGAGTGCACTCAGTTTCGAATCATCGCATCAATATCAACACATTGATACGTTGTCGACCGTCAGACGACCAATTGTTTACTAAATTGAAACATCAGTATCAGAATCGGATGAAGGAATAAATAAAACACGCCTAATCACATTTTTTTATATCCATAGACCTCACCTCTTTCCTCTTCTCCTCCTTATTTCTTTTTTTCTTTTTGTTCTGTTTCTTTCTTTTTTAATTTTTTTTTTTTGTATATTTTCCTTTATTTATTTTTTTTTTTCTTCATTTTCTTCTCTTTTCCTCTTTTCTTTTCAATTCCTTTTTTTTCTTTTCTTCTTCTCTTCTCTCTTCTCGTCCCTCCCTACCCCAACTCCCACCATCCAACACTCTTTCTGTTTCTTTTTTTTTTTTTTTCATCTTACCCTCTCGCAATTAATGATAAAAAAAAGATCTCGATAAAAATGTCAGCAAAATAAATCTTAAATATACGTTTGAAAATCGGATCTCTTTGTAAAAGAAAGTGCAATCAGCTGGGATGACCTCCATGGCAATCAACGTGTTAATTGTCTTCGATGTCACACCAATCGATAGATCCTACCATCGATTTCCTTTTTGTCCTTATAGATATATATATATATATATACATACATACATACGTACATACATACATCCATACATACATGCATACATACATGCATACATACATGCATACATACATGCATACATGGATATATCCACACATTATACTTACGTACATAGCTTAGGTGGCTTCAATTAGTAAAATGAAAAAGAAATAAAATAGAAAAGTATAGAAGAAAAGAGAAGAAAAAAGGGACAAAAAAAGAAACAAATAGTCGTCATTTCACGAATATTTCGTAGATTCGTGAATTTGAACAAGCGAGGATGGTTTCAAGATCGATGGACGAGAAACTTAATATATATATATATATGTATATGTATATATACATATATATATATATATATTATATATCCGTTGATCGAGAAAGGTATCGCGCGGGAACAACGACAGTTTTCATCATTTATAGCCCCGGCTATCGGGCGAGTTATGAGACTAACGTAGAGATTCGAAGGGGAAGGGGTGGGCTAGAGAGGGGTGCGATCAGGCGGGTGGGTAGGTTGGTTATGGTGAGTGGAGAGAAGTGAGAGGGAGGAGGGAACTTATAGGTGGCTCCTACTACAGAAACAATTTTCTATCTATCGTTCGTTCTTTCGTTTGGTCATAGTCGACGCAATAACGCAGACTCAGCGACCGATAAGCAAGTTCCAAGCCGTTAATGGGCCAAGCTCACACGACTTAGCAAAAAGTTTCCCGTTGTCGACGACGACGACAACGACGACGACAACGACGACGACGACGACGACGATGACAACGACAACGACGATTTTCATTCATTTTCTTTTTCACGAATATCTTTTCTCATTGAGTTTTACTCGATAATTCTGATAATATAAATCCTACGTGTTTCTCGGAATGAAACTTAAAAGATACTTTATCATTTCTCTTAACCCTCCCCCATTATCATCCTATCCCCTCCTCCCACCCCCCTCTCCAACCCCAATTTCAAATCTCATCCTGTCTTTCTGAACATCGAGAAACAAAAAATTAAAACGTATACTTTAAACATCTACGTTGTTTCTTATTTTAACTTTCAATAATGCGTCATCGAACGAATATTATCAATCGGCTAATGTACTTTTATCGTTCCTCAATAGCCGAGCTCGAAGTGATCGAACTTACGATTAATTCGAGATACCGATACGGTACAATATATTACATACATACATATATATATATATATATATATATATATGTATACATATATGTATGTAGTACGTATATACATCTTTATCATACGTAACATGCATACGTACGTATACATTCCTCAAGAACGCAGTCATTTCTTATTAAAATGCATCGAGCATATCGACGATCGTGTCTTTGCGATGCAAATGAACGAACGAAATGGTGGGGATGAGCGAGCGAGCGAGAAAGAGAGAGAGAGAGAGAGAGAGAGAGAGAGAGAGAGAGAGAGAGAGAGAGAGAGAGAGAGAAGGGGAAAAGTGGGGGGTGGGTCGCGATAAGTATATTCGTAAACATTTGTTTGATCCATACAACTATTATCTCTTTCTTTCTCGTTCTTTCTTCTATCAAGATCGAATCACTGTATTATTCCATAGGGTTACTCCCCGCATCAAAATCCTGATGTCATTCGATATTGTCGTTTAGGAAATACGAAGGATATATCTAATTGATAGAAACAAATCGTCTAAAGCAACGTTAACCTGTCGTCTAAGGGCTGAAACATAGAGATCACAGGGAGAGGGACGGGTGGGGGGGCGAGGAGGGGAAAGTTGAGAGTGGGAATGGGGGAAGATGGGGGGATAGGGATGGGGATTGGGATTGGGATTTGGAGGGAGGTGGTGGTGGGTGCATGGGTACAACACCCCCTAGAGAGATGGTCGACGAACGCTTGTTTGACGGCACTTCCCCCAACACCGATGCACGGCAAACGTGGTATCGCATTCACGGTCCACTGCCTCAGGATTCGGGTCTTCACCCTCCTCCTCTACTTCTATGCCTCGTCCTTCTACTCTTCCTCCTCGAAAAAAGAGAATACCGTGAATCTCTCACCCTACCTATCCACTGTACTGCGATGCGATGTAGTAGTGGTTGCTGGTACTGGTGCTGGTACTGGTACTGCTGGTGTTAGTGATGGTAATGGTGGCGATGGTGGTGGTAGACGATCGGTAACACCAGCTCGAATGTCGAAGTCGTCGTCGAAAACGAAGGGCTTTATTTCGTTGAAGTTTCTTCGTTTTCTTATTTTTTTTCTTTTTCTCTCTCTCTCTCTCTCTCTCTCTCTCTTTCTTTTTCTTTTTTCTTCTTTCTTTTTTTCACGCGCGATTGAAATTCGCTAAGTAACACGCGAACGTCATCGAATTTAAGTATAGCTTCTTCGTCGTCGTCGTCGTAGTCGTCGTTCGAACGAACGAACGATCGAATGTCAACGACAAATCTTTTTTTTTCCTTCGTTAGAGCGTTATTTTTTATTTCAAATTGTCATCATTTTCCTTCTCTTTTTTTTTTCTCGTTTTCCCTGAGTTTCGTTGAAATTAAATATTAAAATTACGAATAATGCTCGTTCGTCCAAGACCGTGATCATTCTTTCTTTCTTTTTTTTTTCTTTTCTTTTCTTCTCGTTTTTTAAAGCATACAACCTTTCCCGTATCGATTGATTATGGATATTTTATTTATAGATGCAATTTACATATGCTGTTGATTAGCTTTGGTATCGTCGTCGTCTGTCCGCAGGCTAGACCAGAACACATTGACCTGCCTTCGTAACCGGTAAAACAAGGTAATCATGTCTGTCTTAAACAGCATACGGGCGCGGCGTCTATATAACCAATATCCTTTTTTATTATTCTTCCTTTTCTTCTTCTTCTTCTTTCGGACATTAATTAAAAGATTATTACCTAATGAGGATCATCGATATTCTACGAAAGGCTAACGAGATCTTTTTTACTATCGTCAAGAAATGTCACGTACATATATATATATATATATATTTTATATATATATATATTTTATATATATATATATATATTTATTTAATTAATAAATAAGCTCATTTGGTTTGAAGATTTTCCTAAGAGTTTCAAAACATTGATATAAATATCGAAACTCATCAACTTCCTGAATAAATTATTCTATTTATCCAATCATCTATCCATTATCAAACGCAACTAATTATATAGATAATTGATTACGTTATTTAACAAATCGTCAAACAAATATCAATCAAGTTTGTTTTTTCCTTTTCTTTTACCTTCCCCTACCTCATCCATCCTATTCTTTTTTCTTTTTGTATCATATCCCATGATTCATTTCTTTTTTTCTTTTTTTTTTTTTTTTTTCAATCAGTCAATTATATTCGTTAAGGTGGAATCGTAACGCATCGATGATCGATGCGCAGATCTCTTCGATCGATCGATCGATCACGATCTTTTTCTCATACTACATCGCTCGGCAATCTCCTTCCCCTTTCCCCTGCTCACCTACCACCTGGTCACGAAATTTCATTCGCGGTCTTTCACCAAAAATTGATACGGTGTGACGAGTAGGAACGTCATCGACCGCATCCTTCACGAGATCCATAATTCCTGAATGTCCCTTGGGTACTTTAACGTGCTCATTTCGGAATCTATTCGCTTGGGGAATCTACTACCAGTGCATTCCGCACTCCGGAACACGTCGTTGCCTCCTTTGATCTAACGGACAGTCGGCTTTTAAGCTTGCGAAAGAGAGACCCCCAGATGGTTATGATAACAATAATTCGATCTCTGTTACTCAACTTTGTCTCTCTCTCTCTCTCTCTCTCTCTCTCTCTCTCTCTCTCTCTGTCTCCCTTTCTCTCATTCTCTCGTATGATTTGTCTACTTACTGATACTAATCGAATTGAATTATTCTTTTTTTTTTTTTTCTTTCTTTCGTGTACGATGAGACCTTAAAAAAAAATGGATCAATTTTATAATAATAAACTTATATATACATATACATATATATGGTTGTGCAGATATATACCATACATAAGTCGAGAATAAGACGTTGAAGTTGGGAAAAAGAATAAGATGTAAGAGCAAAAGTAAAAGCAAAGCAAAAAAAGAAAAGAAAAGTTTGTCACCTTTCTTTCGAATCATCCATCGAGGATGATATGGTAACCCCAAGGATAGAGTCGAAAGGAGTTCTCTTGGAATCGATTGGGAATTAATCCGGCGCTATCGCTCCTTGCAACCGTCGCTCCATTGTCTCATTGTCTGCTAGCTCGAGTTAGTGAGTGAGAGAAAGAGATAGACAGAGAGAGAGAGAAAGAGAGAGAAAGAGAGAGAGAGAGAGAGAGCGAAAGAGAAATAGAGAGATAGAGAGATAGAGAGAGAGAGAGAACTCTCCTTCATTGCTATCTTGGTTCCTTCCAAAAGAGAGATCGTTGTGATCCAATTCGGGGGCCAAGTAGTTCTCTGCTATTCCAGAGATACCTAAAGGTCGAAGCTAACGTCGATCTAGGATTTGTTGTCTCACGTATCTCAAAGGTTTGCGCTGCTTCCCTTTCATCTTTTCTTTTCTAAACAGAAAGAAAAAAGAAAAAGCGAGAGAGAGAGAGAGAGAGAGAGAAAAAGAAAAAGAAAAAAGTGTAGAAACAATAAGCAAGAAAACAAAGGAAGGATTATTTGCTTAGAAAAAAAAAAAAAAAAAAAAAAAAGAAAGAAAAAAAAAGAAAAAAAAATTGAGACGATTAGACAAAATAACAAAATTAAATCGTCGTAAATATTAATGTTTACGACTTATTAATCTGTTTACTTGTTTCGACCTAAAAATATGATATAATTAATCTAATCATCATTGAGATATTACTCTTCTTCTTCTTCTTCTAATAATAATAATAATAATAATAATAATAATAATAATAATAATAATAATAATAATAATAATAATATTATTATTATTATTATTATTATTATGTATAATATATTATATATATTATATAATATTATTATTATTATTATTATTATCTTTGGAAATCTTTTTCGCAATAACATTCGTTGGCCCCCAAAAAGGGCGTCATGCATGACTCGCCTCAGGATGTCATCTGCACCCTGCTGCAATCGTTGGCTTTTGCTACCATCACTGGGTAGATACTACGCTTCACGACCTCCATACGACTACTACTACTACTACCACTTCTATTACTATTACTAATACTACTAATACTGTTCCTATTACTACGTTACTACTACTACTATTACTACTATCAATACTAGTACGAAGGAGACGATCTTCACGGTCAATATAACGCACGTCGTAAAATCAATTAGTGCGGAATTGTACCGCAGCCTAGGATCAAGCCAACGCGCACAGTACTTACGTGTACCATATAATATCTTTATTTCTTTTGAAAACCACAAAAGTTTCCGGGGTAACTAGAAATTTCGAAAATTTTCTCTTCTTGGTTTTTTTTTTTTATTTTTTTTTTATTTTTTTTTTTTTTTTTTTTTTATATATACTCCTATTAACATAGACAGGCCTGTCTATGATTTTGAATCGTCTTACTTGTCCTTAAATATCTTTCTGTGCTTCATTATTTGTTTGGTCCTTGCCTTTTTCTTCGTCTTTTTTTCTCTTCTTTTTTCTATTTTTTTTTTTTTTTCTTTTTTTTTTTGCTTTTATAAATCCAACGAAACACGTTCGATCATACATATGTGTCGTTACTTCTCCTGAAAATTTCAAATTTATAAGAGATCGTGGCTGAAAGGTAGACAAAAAAAAAAGAAGAAAAAAGAAAAAAAAAAAAAAAAAAGAAAAATAAATATATAAAAAGAAAAAAAGAGCAAATCCATTTGGACCATAGAAAAATGAATAAACTAAATTTATAAATATTAATCGTCTATATCTCTAACCTTTATTCGATATTAGCCACGATTCAAATTGTTTTCTTCGAATTATCAAGAGAACCCATAAGTCCGTAGTCCCATCATTCATCCTCAAATGAATTCTTCTTGATCTTTCTGTTCTTCTGTTTCTCGATCATCTAGAATAAATAAGCGTTCTTTTTTACTTCTACGTGAGGGATTCTATATATACAAATACATATACATATACATATACATATACATATACATATACATATACATATACATATACATATACATATACATATACATATACATATACATATACATATACATATACATATACATATACATATACATATACATATACATATACATATACATATACATATACATATACATATACATATACATATACATATACATATACATATAATATATATATATATATAAAATGATTTAAGAATATATAGCAGTGTCAGGTATATAACGTCATATAGATAGATAGGTATTCTTCGTGAAATCGACGAAATTGCCAGTTCGTCTTTTTCGTCTTCTTCGTCTTTCTTTCTTTCTTTCTTTCTTTCTTTCTTTCTTTCTTTCGTTCCATTGGTCCCCTTTCTTGGATCATATATTTCTACGCGCAAAGAACCTTCGAACGATACCAGGACAAATCATTGAAAATCGGTGTCATTTTCATCGTTCCCGGCGTAACCGATCGAACAAATTTCCCATGACGAGATACCATAAGAATACCATAGCTTTCCAGGCGTATTCCTCTTCTACTTTATCCTCTCTTCTTTTCTTCTTCTTTTCTTTCCTTGAATGACCGCTGAAAATTTGAGGAGTATTGAGTAGTATCAATATGAAAAAGAAAAAAAAAAAAAAGAAAATTGAAATTTATAACAATTTCAATGGCAAATTACTTTCGTTTATTCATTAATACGTAGATTACGAATAACGACAAACGGAATGTCTGCTTGATATAAAATTTATTATAAAAAATTATTTATAGAAATTCAAATCCAAACGTTCAATTTTATTATATCGTTCGATTTTATTTGTCCCATTACAGATAATGACTTTATTGTTTACTTAATCCATAATATATATATATACATATATATATATATGTGTGTGTGTGTGTGTGTGCGTATGTGGTAATTACTGTTCAACAACAGAAATGATGTCAGACAATCGGGTTCTGAGGTTGTAACCTCAAGGAGAGAATAGTGGTGTAGACGACATACGGACTCGACGAAAGTATCTCGACTGCAAATCGCCGTGATAAACCCCCATTTCCCTGCCCTTTTCACCCCGTCATCCCTTTCCTCTTTCACCCATCCCCCCGCCCGGCCCCCTCCGCACCCTTTTTCCCGTTGTACTCACGGCCCATTCAAGTATTCACCATTTTTCGCGACAATTGTCGGGTGCAATGCAATAATTACGTAATTCCCGTCACGCTTATTACTAAGAGAGCTCCTGTTCCTAGTTAAGACATATATAATGGTAGTGGTGACTAGTAGTATCGTGGTGAAGGTGCTCGGAAATGGCCTGAAGATTGAAGGGAAAGGGAAGGAGGAGGAGTGAGGGTGAGGGGGAAATAGAGGGTTAAGGAAGAAGTGGGATGGCGTTGAGTTTCGTACTAGGTGGCGTCGACCGCAAAGACTTGTAGATTTTAGCATATTACGCTTTATATAGATTCCAACGAGGCAAAGCCTCTCTATGGAAATCTCTATTGATAAGAAATTCTAATGATAATAAATAATTCAATTTTTCTTTCTTTTTTTTTTCTTTTTTCTTTTTTTTGTATTTATAATAATCGATCTTTCAGCTGTAACAATCATAGTATTTGCAGAATTAATGATTTTTTCTTATATATATATATGTATATGTATATATATATATATATTCTTTCATTGAATCATTATAGAGAAAAATTTATGATTATTCTTTTCTTCCCATTCTTCCTTCCTCCATTAATTTTACTCATAAATATAGTTTTTCTTTTCTCTCTCTCTCTCTCTCTCTCTCTCTCTCTCTCTCTCTCTCTCTTTTTAAAATAATTATCTCAATGTATCGTATGTGTTACATTTTGACTGATAATCCAAGATATTCGAATAATTTTTTTAAACAAATGATGATACATACAAATTATGTAATATTTTTCTTTTAAGCGTTATAATAATATATATATATATATATATATATATATATATATATGCTCAAAGTTAATTTTATTATGTTCTCTTAGATAGACAAGTTCCAATGAATCTTTAAAATAAAGTTCAAAGAGACGTTTGCGTAATCTTCGTTTACATTTTGCTTATAAAGTATCATCTAAATGTTGAAAGATCATAAAACAGAACTATAATTGTCACGTGTTACGTCGTATAATAGTCGTTTAATAGAGATCGTTGACTGATTATAGTATATAACGTGCCATCGCATTATTATAATTTATGTCGAACTATTTATATCGTTACATTGATTCATAGCAACAAGTGCGACGGCTATTCTGAAACATATTTGTATTCAAGATACGTACTTACTTACTTACTTGTCAGCATTTGTAAAACGCATACCTAAGTCGAATTGACTTACATAAATGGAAAGAACATAAGTCAGCAGCTTTGTCAAGAAATCATTTGGCGTATTTTAAATTACAATGCGTTATAATATCAATCTAGTCAGCCTAATACGATTTTAATAAAGGAAAAAAAAAAAAAAAAATTCTCCATCGTAGAATTTTATTAATATCAAATTAATTTCATACCAATAGAATAAAAAGAAACGAATAAAAGAAAATAAAAGAAAAGAAATAAAAAAAAAAAGAAAAAAAGAAAAAAAAAAAGAAAGAAAAAAGTCATAAAAAATTATAAATTAAATACAAGACAATGAAAATATGAAATTCGTGAGAATTCGAGAATTAAAAACAAAAAGAATAAAAAAACTTAGAAAATATCAATTGAATATAAATAATAATAAGTGCGAGTATATCTGTAGACAATTCCTTTTGAGATCAGAGTATGGCGCCTTGTGAAAGAATCCGTGAGTATTAGTCTCGTTCGTTTTAGAGTTTTTCAAATACATGATACAAAAAAAAAAAGAAAAAAAAAGAAAAGAAAAAAGAAAAGGGTACCATAAAAATTAATTGGCCCTCGAAAGGTATAAATGGAAGAAGACTCCCTTTGGCTTATCGTCGAGACAGGCAGATACCGACTAGCTAAAGAAGAATGCGATGAGGTCGTCCTGATGATCGGTTGTTGTTGTAAATCCTACGACGTGTTTTCATTTCGTTCAAGGATCTATACTGTTCGAAGGATCCGTCGTCATTTGATAGAAAAAGATAGAGATAGATAAATGGATAGAAAAAGACAGAGAGAGAGAGAGAGAGAGAGAGAGAGAGCAAAAGAAAGAGAACGAAAGAAAGAAAGAAAGAAAGAAGGAGAGAGAGAGAGAGAGAGAGAAAGAAAGATAGAAAGAGAGAGAGAGAGACAGGTTGAAACGATCGATATCCGCATTCTCCTAGGATGCTCACGAGTAAAGTGAAATTCTTTGCTTAAACAGGTAATCTTGTTGAAATCCGTTCGATTAATTGGAACGAGATATGTAAGTAATATCCTATCGTTTACAAGTATCTCGATTGGCTTTGATTGGAATTTGATTTTTGACTTTTGTTTTCCTTCTTTTTGTCTTTGTTTCTTTTTCTTCTTTCTTTTTATTTTTCTTTTCATTCCTTTTTTTTTTTTTCTTCTTTTGCAATCAACCCCGAATCGATTTGCAACAATCGAGATAGGATAAGATTATTCGGAATTTTAAAGTTTAGAGTTTATTTTATATTTTCTTAAATTTAAACGCGAAAATATTGGGATACTTGTCATCCTTAGAGTTAACTTCTTTGCGATATAAGGTAAAAGGACGAGACGAGACGAGAGAGAGAGAGAGAGAGAGAGAAAGAGAGATTGAAGGAGAAGGAGAGAGAGGGAGAGGGAGAGGGAGAGGGAGAGGGAGAGGGAGAGGGAGAGTGAGAACTTGCATAATATAGAAACGGTGACTCGTCCGCGAGAACCCCTCGAGGGTCGAACAATTGAGTGCCCCAAGAACTACCTACTCACTTACGGGCTCTCTCTCTCTCCCTCTCCCTCTCTCTCTGTCTCTCTCTCTCTCTCTCTCACCTCGATGCTGCAGGTCCACCCACCTACACCCTTTCCCATTCCACCCCCTTTTCCACCACTGTCCTTCGCCAACGAGTCATAACCGTAGGGCGTACAATGGATGGAAACTACCAGGCCCGGCTGGCTTTTCACCGGCACTTCTTCTTCGGCCCCGCCAATTAATTCCGACCGTGCCGATTTCGTTCAAGGGAAGAAAACCAGTCCTAAAGAACGCTCGTAAATCTTCGACCGATCCGTAACTTTCCTTTTCTTTTTTCTTTTCTTCTTATTCTTATTCTTCTTCTTCTTCTTCTTCTTCTTATTCTTATTCTTATTCTTTTTCCTTTCTTTCTTTCTTCTTCTTCTTCTTCTTCTTCTTCTACTTCTTCTTCTTCTTTATTTTTCTGTTCCCTTTTTTTAATTTTTTTTTTTCTTTTGCCCTCATGATTTCTGATATAAAATGTCAATCGTCTAACGTCGAAAGTTTAATCAGTCTTTTATCGATATCGACTTTTATTTGCTCGAATTTACTTATCCTTTCGACTAATAAAAGTATTCTTCTTGAAAAAGATTCTTCTTTTCTCTCTCTCTCTCTCTCTCTCTCTCCCCCCACCCTCTCTCTCTCTCTCTCTCTCTTTCTTTTTCTATTTCTTTCTTACTGTAAAAGATATTTTTTAAAGATTTTATAAAGAATTGATATTAGATCGTAATTAAATATATACATATAAATATATATGTATATATGTATATATGTATGTATATCATATTTTCATCGTTACGACGAATCACAAATATATTATATTCTCTGACGCGCGAGGCGAAAAACGACCTTTGGAAGGGCGCCAATCGTAACACGCGATCTTTCGAGTCTCTCGGCCAATCGTTGGCCGCTACCGACGCGACGCTTTCGAATCTCAGGAAGGAGCAGCAGCAGCAGCAGCAGCACCAGCAGCAGCAGCATCAGAAGCAGCTCTAACGAGAGCTTTCGTAATTTATTATCACTGAGCGAGCGGTTTTGACGTATGTATATACGTACGTAAGTACGTACGTATGTACGTATTGTATGTATCTATGTATATATGCATATGTATATATATATATATATATATGATTTTAAATACCGATAAATATATACATATATATATATATATATATATATATATTCTTTGAAATCACTTTAGATTTAAGATGGCAGCGTATCAAAATTTTTTAGATTTAACGCGATGAAGACAGAGAGAGAGAGAGAGAGAGAGAGAGAGAGAGAGAGAGAGAGAGAGAGAGAGAGAGAGAGAGAAAAGAAAGAAAAAGCTTATTTTATTAAATCGTAAAGTAATAAGATGGAAATAAGAAAAAGTCGAATGTGAGATAAAGAGAAAAGACAAATGATCGAAGTGAATGATAAAGAAAGAAAGAAAGAGAGAAAGAGAAAGAAAAAACTAGCGCAAAGAAGGAAAAGAAGAAGAAGAAGAAGAAGAAGAGGAGGAGGAGGAGGTAGAAGAGGAACAAGAAGAGGAAGAAGAAGAAAAATAAAAAAGAAAAAAGAAAAAGAAAAGAGGAGTATAATGCGGGAAGAAAAGTCAGTCGAAAGATAGTTAGCGGAATGAACGAGCGACGATGTGATTGAGAGAGAGAGAGAGAAAGAGAGAGAAAGAGAGAGAAAGAGAGAGAGAAAGAG